TTCCCTTTTTTAGATGTTATCGACAGATTTATGACAAATTCAATATCTAAAATGATCGAAATTTCGGCAATTTCTATATTATGCGTTTTAAGTCACAGCTGAACGTATGAATTCATTCATTCACCGGGTCGCCGGCCAATTAGAACTAATATTTTTTTAATTTGACACAAAGATGAAGACTTTCCGTTTTCGACAGTAAAATTCTTCCGTTTTTATGCAGAAAATACAGTATTTTTACGAAGTAAAATTATTATTTATTAAAATTATTATTCGTACGTGGGTTATACACTACATAGTTTGTAATTCAGCTTTATTCAGTTATAATTCAAGACAATAAAATCATTATGGAGAATATAGCAAATAATCTTATTTCTATGATAATATTCTTGAGTAATTATGAAAATTATCATTGGTGTACATATGTAATGCATTTTGTTTAGAATTATTCATAATATACTTCTGAAGTTTCTTGTCAAAATCAGTTGTTTTAACCCCCCCAAAAAAGTTTCACAATGTAGAATAAGTAGTGTTAGTATAATGTTGATGCGATCATTACATACCCTCCCCAGATACACACCTACAAGCAAGCACGTAGCACAATATATGACTCGTATACCAATAATGTCATTACTGTTCCTCTATTACTCCGATCCCACTACCATCACATGGCAGGGGGGACTGGATAGACTAAATGTCTAACAGTTACTTTATTAAAGATTTGACCTGCAAACATGAGGGCCATGGATTGATTAAAATCACGCGGGAAGTAATCCTGGTGATAACGATTCATAAGAAATCTACATATATACTAACGTTTAACATATATTGCAGTCAATTCACATTCCAGAGGTATTGATGACATACCGGTGTGACAACAATAACAGGAGTTAATGACCACACAAATATATGCTACATCGGCAACGGGATAGTATATGTCAATACCGGGGAGCAAACAAGGGGCGCATACCGTCTCGCTAGAACTAGCTTTTTTATACCACTATGTCATTTAACAACACGAAGGGAACACACATCTAACTTCTTCTCTTCCTTGAAAAGTTTATACTGTCGCTCATCTGATATATTATCTAACTAAGTCAACTCCACGTTCATGACGACATCGATTACGTCATCTGCTGTGCTGGGCTACAGTGTACACTGATTGGTTTATACAAGAAAATACCACCACATGATACAGGTAAATTCATTGCTTGTCTTGACAGCTTTTATATAATAAACTTAAAAGGTTATGTTCAGATTTGACAGATGACTGAACACAATTTAATATATCGCACATGGACATCCGCAATGTTGAAAAATTGACCAACTGAATAAAAAAAACATATAATATATCCTAGCTCATAATAGGGACATGGCGACGTGTTGAGGTTGCTGCATCGCGCTGTGCTGTTTATTTGCACCGTGTGAAGTGATATCGCCATGTAAGAGTCCAACCGACTCTGTGTGTAGATAGCGTAATCAACGGAGTGTTTTGATGCGTTGTATATGTCGCCATAAAAGCATCGAACTGACTCTGCATGCAGATAGCGTCACCAGGTGAATTTGTAGTGAGACAGTGTCATATCACCAAACTTATCACCAAGCCCACGTGAC